TCTCAAGTATTCAAGTATTCAACTATTCAAATTTTAACTTCTCAAGTGTTCTGCGAATATTCAGTGGGAAACGCGTTCCCAACCTAACACACCTTTTATTTCAGCATCGTGGCGTGGGGGCACGAAGCGCCCCCCGAAGAGCCGCGACCCATGTACGTCTCTGTATACACCATTATTCCTACTCAGTGCTGCACATTAGCTGAAGCTTCTCATATACTTCTTGTAGCATCCCAGATAATGTCTGCAGCATCTCAACCCAAAGCTGTAGTATCCTAGGAAATGCTTGTAGCATGCTTGGGGATGCTTGTAGCATTCTAGGTGATAATTTTAGCATCCTATGGAATGCTTGTAGCATCATAGGGGATGCTTGTAGTCTCGCAGACAATACCTGTCGATATCAGATGATTCTAGTGGCATTCCAGCAGTTAATTAATTAGGTACTTGAATATTTGAATAGATGAATAGTTGAATACTTGAATACTTGAATAGTTGAAAACTTGAATAGTTGAATAGTTGAATACTTGAATTTAACTTTCAAGTTTGACACTACTGGTCGGGTCAGGTTACGAAAAAAATTTTTGAGCTCGGGTCGGATCGGGTCACAAAAAAAGTGACCCGTGTCGGACACTCGCGTGAACAGTCCAACATTCTATCAAGGTGAATGTTTGAGGTTGCTTTTCAAGTAAAGATTTCCGTTGCATCCTCTGCTTCAAACAGAACTTGAATGCGAGGTTAATGTGTGATATTTATAAGCATGATCTACCGCCAACAGCTCAAAAACAATTTGGTCACGATCCGGCGAATTGGAAACTACAAGAAAGTAATGACCCCTAGCATACCTCAAAACTAGTAATGCAATGAAAAATTGATAATAGTGTGAATGTTATTGATTAGCCATCGATGTCTCCCGATGTTGCATCGATTGAAAATGCCTCGCAGCTAACTCCTCAAGATGAAGTTGAGAATGAAAAAACTTACAACTTATCAATCGTTGGTTTTGACAATAAAGCACGAATGAAAGTTATTACCACCAGATCTAGCAATTAAACTTGTAGTTAATATGAGTAATAGAGTTTCTGCAATTATTGAAAGTGATGGTGACTTCATATTACATTGATGATCAGAGTGTTATACAGATTATTATATAATCAAATATTTCTCATCTTATCACTTTGTTCGAGGAAGCTCATCTAGGGAAAGATTTTTATCGTCTACTGTACGTTATAAGCATTCAATAGTATTCCAACATTTGAGAGAAATTCGCATGATTCTATGATAGAAATCATATGTAATGCTAGCAACATGTCATCTTATAATTCAATAAGTTGCCATACTCTAAAACTTTTTAAATGAAAATGATGTATTAATATTTCATTCTGCGAGTCTTGTTTAATAAGACATACCACTTCAGTTGCTATTTAAATGCCTTAACAGAACAAAATAGTTGCAAACTATTCTAACTATAATAGAGTATGATTACAAATATTTTCGAAAAAAATGTTTATTTTCCTTGAATCACTATCAATATTGTTTCAACACTATTGTTTCTTTTGGACTAGTTAGGATCAGGAGTGCATAGCTCATGCTCATGAGTATGAGGGTTATTGCGCTATGCGAAAGGCAACCGCCGTCCGATCTATAATTCCCCAGGACATCTCAAAGAAAAACTTTCTCTGCGTTCTGTTTCAAATCCTCGTATTTTGAGAGTTCTACAGTAAGTATGCTTATTCCAAATACCATAATTTTACGAAATTGATTGCATAATAAGAAAAATTTCAAACCAAGGGAGAAAAAGTGGATCCCGTCTGGTCGAGATACGGTAACAATCCAGAAAATCCAGAGGATACACTGGGGATACAGAGGATCCAGTGAGAATTCCGGGAATATGCGTATGATACGTAGA